TTTGGTTTGCAAGCTTGATGTTTTCGAAGATACAATCGGGGCCCCGGTTGGCTTTCGGGTAGGAATTCGTGGTTCAGGATTGGCAAGCTCATAGACTTATAGTGTATCGAGGGATTTAGGAGGCTGTCCTATTTTATGCTCCCATATATTCTGCCCAAAAAACCCTGAAGCACTACTTGTAAACCCAAAGCTTCACTTTCCCGAGCAACTCCAGAGGCAAATCTTCCACGCAGAGACTCCTTAGCTTGTGGGTTTCGACGACGGTTGATGTATGCTTTCTTGTGTGGCAGCTCGAAACATTTGAGGTTTTGGGCGAATGATGGGATAACCTCGTCTTTGTTACTGGTGTTACGAGTACAATTGCCCCCCTTCCCAAGTAGTAGTCGTAGTAGCAGCCAAAACAACTACTACAACCTACAACCCTAAACTCCTAAACCCCTTTACCCTAAACCCCTCAACCTTAAATCGGCCCTATGTCGGTAAGCCTTAAACCTACCATAAAAGGTTTGAGGCCAGACCCGTGACCAAAACCTTTGTCACCAGGTTCAGACGAGCCGGGCAGAGCAGATGCGAGGAAGGGAGGGGGGCACTCAGGAGGACGTGCCGGTCTTCAAGCGGCCTGCAGCCAAGGGCTGGCCGAAGGGGAAGGCAAAAGCTCGGCCGGCCAAGGGCGAGCTTTTGGACGACGAGCCGACGAAGCGAGCCAAGAAAGGCCAGCAGGGTGACGACGAGCCGAAGAAGCGAGCCACGAAAGGCGAGCAGGGTGACGACGAGCCGAAGAAGCGAGCCACCAAAGGCGAGCAGGGCGACGACGAGCCGAAGCCGAAGCGAGCCACGAAGGGCGAGCAGCAGGGCGACGAGCCGAAGCCGAAGCGAGCCAAGAAAGGTGAGCAGGGTGACGAGCCGAAGCCGAAGCAAGCCAAGAAAGGCGAGCAGCAGGGTGAGGAGGAGCCGAAGCCGAAGCGAGCCAAGAAGGGCAAGCAGGGTGACGACGAGCCGAAGCCGAAGCGAGCCACGAAGGGCAAGCAGGGTGACGACGAGCCGAAGCGAGCCAAGAAAGGCGAGCAGCAGGGTGACGACGAGCCGAAGCGAGCCAAGAAGGGCAAGCAGGGTGACGAGCCGAAGCGAGCCCAGAAGGGCAAGCAGGGTGACGAGCCGAAGCGAGCCCAGAAAGGCAAGCAGGGTGACGAGGAGCCGAAGCCGAAGCCTGCCAAAAAGGGCAAGCAGGGTGACGAGCCGAAGCCACTCAAAAAGACGTTCGCCAAGAGGTGGGAGCCGGAGGTGGAAGGGAGATCCAAGTGCCTCTGGACGTCCATTCGGGACGCCTTCAACGACCTCATTCGGCCACAGCTCCGTTTCCCGACTAAGTTCGAGGATTGCCGGCCGAAATCTATTCCCCCAACCCTAAAGCCCTAAACCTCTAAAGCCCTAAAGCCCTAAACCCCTAAAGCCCAAAGGCCTAAACCCCTAAACCCGTAAAGCCCTAAAGCCCTAAAGCCCTAAAGCCCTAAACCTCTAAAGCCCTAAAGCCCTGAACCCCCAAACCCCTAAACCCCTAAAGCCCTAAAGCCCTAAACCTCTAAAGCCCTAAAGCCCTGAACCCCTAAAGCCCTAAAGCCCTAAACCCCTAAAGCCCTAAACCCCTAAAGCCCTACAGCCCTAAGACCCTAAACCCAAGACGCTGCTTAATTCGAGAAAGCTAAAAGCAGTGAGTCTTCAATGAGTCTAAAATTTCCCAAAATAATACTTGAAGCCCGAACCCTTCCTAAACTCTTTATACTTCAAAGCCTCAAGCCCTAGGCCTTTCCAAACCCTAACTCCGAAACCCATGACATGATCTGCTTGCAGGATCCCTTCTGGATGCATTGCCGCCCCAAGCTGATCGAGCTGGAAGAGGACTCTTACAAGCCCAAAGCACGGGAGCTTGCTTTGGTGTGGTTGGAGATGCAGAAAGACTCTGGTGTTCTGAAGAACTAAAGCCACCCGTCTAGAATAACACACTGTTTCAAGTATAATTATAGCTTAGGAGACTCAATCAACTCTGGCACTTCATCCGAGGCTCCATGGTATGATCCGACGGCCAGCTACATGAGTGATCCTGAGTCATAGAATAGACTTGGGCCTGATTTTCTGAAACCGTTCCAGTGCAGCTCTCTGGGATCTACTAGGATCCCCCTGACGGGTGTCTGCTTTCCAGGGGCGAGTGTGGGCTTCGCTTATGCTAGGCTTCAGAAGTGACTAGCTGCACGCACCACTTATGCTGCTTCGCTTATGCTAGGCTTCAGAAGTGACTACCAGCATGCACCACTTATGCTTACTGGGTCGCCACACACTGCCCTTTAGAGGAAGCATGAGTCATGGCGAGAGCCGATGGATGTGTTTGTGAGAGCAACAAAAGTTGAGCGAGTCTTCATGAGCGGCGACTGCATTGATTAATGCCTCCTAGCAGAAGCCAAGTCTCTGCATAGATACCGAAGATAAGAAGCTGTCCTCCCACGCCGGCAGGTACGATCGAAAGCATGAGCACGTGCTGGTCGTTCCACCATTTTGGCCTTGCCGAAGACGAGAGTGAGCCGCCGTGTTTGCTTTCTGATTATGGTTTCGAGTCAGGAAGGTTACTTTAGGGAGCCAGGTGTTTGGGGGTTCCGGGGCAAACCTTCAGGTTCGCAGGGCTTGCTGCTTCAGATTGTGGCCTGGCTTGGGTGTCGACAAGGGCTCTGGTGCCTGCCTTCAGCATTCCCTAAGCCCTAAGCCTAAACCCTAAAAGGCCCTGTAGGGTTTAGGGTGTAGGGTTTCTCTACGACCTAGGCTTAAATCCTAAGACCCAAAAGCCTAAATTTCATTTGGGGTTCGGGTATTTGCCTGGTCGCAGTCTGTAAATCCCACGCTTAAACCCTAAAACCCAAAACCCTAAAAGGCATTGGGGTTCGGATATTTGCCTCAAACTTTGTGCGATTTCGCTTGAGACTTCGAAGGGGTGTGTTCCTCGTGTTGGTTGTCGAAGACCCCAGGCCGAAAGTCCTTTGCTTGTGCTGTATGGAATCCAGAGTAGAGGGCTCGAGGTCTCGAGGTTTAAGTTCTGGTCCCTACCAACTGAAGACCCGAGTGAAGCCCCAAAGAAAGGTATTTAGGATTACAGGATGTTACGGG